ATACAAAATCCACATGGAAATATTTTTATTCGATGACTCCCCACTACTTGGCCAACATGAAAGATCACGATAAGACTCTAAATGACAATAATAACTTGGTAACTGAACTTTAAAGCGTCAAATACAGTGGGTAAGCCCTTGCCTATCAGCAAGGATCTTACACTGACACCATGGCTATATCTGTCTCATTTTTTTATTACGAAGTTCAGGGCGTTGGTGTTCCTAAATACATAGGTACTGGCATCGAAGTCGACTTGGGCGGAACACATCGAACATGTGTAAATGAAAATATTTCCCACCGCTTTTGCGGGTTATCACCGTACATGCCTATAGCATGTTATTTTCTCACTTTTTATTACCCGACATCATGCACGTATGGGTGTGGGTGTGTATGGGTGTGTGGCAAAGACAATCCTTTAGTAAGGAACTCAAAGCCTTCATTTGATACGTTCTCTTGAGATGAAGGCTTCTTCGATCTTGCTCTTTACGTATACAAGTTCCTAAAAAACACTTATACCCACAATGGGGAACACAAAGAAGAGCTCGGACTCTGGTGTCTTAAAATTGCGTGTGATATGCAAGATCACACAACCAGACCATTATAGAATGGCAAAATTTTGTATTTGAGTCCAAAGAACTCCAGGTGTTTTCTTATTCTTTTTAATCAGTAGTGGTGTTAGACGCATTTTTGTTGGTAAAGCACTCAGATTGAAAGATCAAAAGTATTACTGGACTAGTAGGGAGATACGTTACCCCAGTACGGACAACACTAAAAGTTCAGTGCGTTTAAAATTTGAACTCAACACTTTTATGACATGATTGGTGAAATATTTCACTTAATTATGTGCAAAATAGCACATGAGATTGTTTCATTCGCGTTCGCGCAAACTATTTCGACTTGCCAGGGTTTTTTTGTGTTTGATTTTCCGTAGTTCTATAGTCATTTTTCATCATGCAAGTATGCCAGTTTAAAGAGTTTCTGTGCAAGTTTATACATAAGAATGTGCAGCGTTGTTTTGTTGTTTGTAGCAGGTGTTCTTGTGAACCAAACATTTACGAAGTATCAAAGTCTTAAGATTTTAAGAAATTGCCACTTCTATAAACTCGGTACTTCCATTAATAAGAACTGATATAATGTAATACTGAAATGTTTAGTGATTAGCAATAAAATTAGAACTCTGTCAGAGGGGTACACTTACAATGCAAAGATACTATTGTGGATTTGTCTGATAATTTTTACACTAAAAGAAATGACAGTTTAAAAAATTTAGCTGGTGTTCTGCCTTCTCCAGCATTGCGCAAAAAATAGAGCCCTCTTGGAAGAAGCTTGGATGAGGTCTTTAAATGGTTGTACCATTCACATGTATAAATGGCATGGGTGATTTGCGGGAAATTAAGCATTAGCTTAGAGCGCATCTTTCGAAGATGTCTCAAGCAAATGCTACGGAGGCAATTTATAGAACGTGCTTACCTCTGGCATGTTTTAAATTTCATATTCTTTTTTTATTAGGTTATTCTTTTCGCATACTGTTCAAAAGTATTTCAATAAATTTCTTTACCGTTTAACAAAGCATCTATTATTGTAAAAAAAATTACGACCTTAATAACCTTTCGTTTAGTAATTTCGCTTGGCATGTTATAGAGAATAAAACAAGGGCGCGCGTAGTTATGAAATCTCTTCTCAAGCG